TAGTTTTGGTATCAACTTATTGTAACTATCATGGTATAACTAAGTGTTGGATCAACTTATTGTAACTATCGTGGTATAACTAATAGTGTTATATCAACTTATTGTAACTATCATAGTATAACTAATAGTGTTATATCAACTTATTGTAACTATCGTGGTATAACTTATAGTTTTGGTATCAACCTATTGTAACTATCGTGGTACAACTAATAGTTTTGGTATCAACTTATTGTAACTATCATGGTATAACTAATAGTTTTGGTATCAACTTATTGTAACTATCATGGTATAACTAATAGTTTTGGTACAGCTGTTCATACATCTAAGTTACGTGTAGGTGAAGGAAATAAAATAATACTTTCTTTTCTGTCACTACTGGCAACACCCACTTTGTTTCACTGTGCATCTAATCAGGATCAGATTTAGTTTTAAGAGATACTTAATAGTGACAATACAGTACCCAACTAAAGGTACGGAACTTTTTAAAATTGTTTGTGAGTAGGTTTGGAAAACTCTCGAGACTGCAGAGCGCTCTCTTTTGGAAATGATCAGCATTAAAGATTATGACTGCTCTTCTCTGTTTGCCGATGAAAGTAATGAAAGAAGTAGTCTCAAACAGCCAGAAACACTTGCTCTCAAGCTACGAGCTGACAGACAGGAAACCGAAGACTTTTATTTAAATGTAAGTTGTTATTGTTGAAGAAAGTATGAATCTAAGTAAAGTTTTACAATCATTTTACTGAACTTTTCACTCAATAATTTTATAATGTTTATAAAGGACAGAAAGGTTATTATTGTTTTAAAAAAAATGTATTCCTCTGAAAATCTGCTTCATGAGAATTTAAGTGTTATTTTAATTGCAAAGCATGGATTGGACTTGTGACCAAAGTGTGGGAGGAAAAAAAAGAAATTAGTAGTGTAACTTAATTATTGTGAATGTTGTGTATATTATATCCAACATAAAAAAAAAAGGGGGGAGGGACAACTGCCTCCCTCCATATAATTCTACTTATACTTGCAAGTTGTATACTGCAAGTTTTTGTTACATTCCTAGTTTTATATTTTTTTTCCATTTATGAATGTGTATGTGTATATAATAATTTTATGTAGAAATATACTTAATAAAAGAACTCCTCCTTAGAAATTTCAAAAGTACACCCTAGACAGCAGTTTGATAGCACGTCTACAGGCCAAAGCTGAACTTATGCGTTGTGAATTAGCAGATGAAGCTGTTTTATCAACTAGTGGGGTGTCACTACCTCTTGCTGTATCACGACCACATGTGTTACCACGTCGAACAAGAAAAAAGCGAATTGGCCAGACACCAGTTGTTGGTCAGCCAATGTTGTTTGGTGGAAGCTTGGAGGAGTACTTAGAAGTAAATATTAACTAATTATTTGTCTATGTGTAGTGTAAAAATATCAATTATGTATTGTCTAGAAATTTATTTATAAACTGCTTTATGTTGTAATTCTGCTTTTAACAAGTGTTTTTATGTTAGATTCCTAGTTTTGACAAGTGTTTTTATGTTAGATTCCTAGTTTTGACAAGTGTTTTTATGTTAGATTCCTAGTTTTGACAAGTGTTTTTATGTTAGGTTCATAGTTTTGACAAGTGTTTTTATGCTACGTGCCTAGTTTTGACTGGTGTATTTATGCTACGTGCCTAGTTTTCACTAGTGTTTTTATGTTAGATTCCTAGTTTTGACAAGTGTTTTTATGCTACGTTCCTAGTTTTGACAAGTGTTTTTATGCTACGTTCCTAGTTTTGACTAGTGTTTTTATGCTACGTTCCTAGTTTTGACTGGTGTTTTTAT